TCTTTACATGGGACACATATATTCTAATAATGATAGCTTTTGGCAGGAGGGGGAGATCAAAAGAGGAATTCGATTCCGAAGCAAAACCTGTTGTTTTTTACCGACTTCAAAAAACTCCATAAAAACTTTTCTACGTGTTCAAGGAATAAATAATAAAAATATTGATTTAGCTATCTTTGATTTTGCGCTGAACAACTTATTTTGTGATTCATTTTTGATGAACACTAAAGTGGTATGAGCTATGTAAAAATAGACAGTAAAAGTGGTCATTTATGAATTTAATCCCTGCTTTATATTGCTTATCCTCCTTAATAACCTTGAAGATTGATAAAACAGAGAGTGTATTGCTGTAATATGCCCTTTGGCATGCCAAGCGTAGGCCTGAACTCCCGAGGTCGCAGTTGTTGCGACATCTACATATGCGCCTATAATCAGTTCCAACAATATGAACCAAGCTGTGAAAGCTAGAAACACGAATTCGGTAATAGCCTCTGGGGTCGACTACTCAGTGGTTTGCCTGGTCGAGGAGTCTCCCTTTTACTTGCGAACAATGTACTTTTGCTTTCGTGATAGTTAGGGAGGCGAATTTGATAGGTGAATTTTCTGTAATACTCGAGCGTGGCAGTTTAAGATATGAGAGATACCTTAGACCTAATAGAACAACCTTGTTAAGTATTTAACTCTATATGTAGTGACGCGCGCCTAGGATAGACGATCAGATTAGTAAAAAAAAATCGATAGTCTGAAATACTCGAGCACGTCAGATTAAGATATTGGGGATTGATTTTAGTGTTTTAAGTCTAAATTTAACTAATCTGACGATAAGTCCTTGACGCCGCCGAGTTATAGGGTGTAAAAAAAAACGTTAATCCGGCATTCTCGAGCGCGATTTTTTATTTTTTAATTTGAAGAATATAATCTAAAACTTACTAAAAATACAAAATCTGCCGGTTTCCGCATGACCGGAAGTGTGGAGGAGCCATTTCGTCTTCCGAAAAACGCGTTGCGGCATATAAGTCGCGAACAATACATTTTACAAAAAAAAGTTTAAATAAAAAAAAAAGGTAATTTTATTTTACACAAAAAAGGTCTCTTTACATTTTTGTCCAAAGTTAAAACTTTTTGACTTAAAGCATCATAAAAACTCAAACTCCCAGTTTTTTGAGTATATCTCGAAAACTCAGGGTGTTAAAAAAATTGATATGAAATAACGATGATTAAATTATGTGACTTTTATTATATCTCAAAAATTTTTTTTTCTAAAGCTTCTCGACATATTTCGTGGACTCGGAAAAAGTTACAAGTATCTGTATACAAAAGTATTATTAACATGTACAGTTTTATGTATGTATATTATTCAATAGCCTGTTGATCCTCAAATTGTTTTTTGGACGTACCGTAAGCAAAACGAAGTGAAGAATTGAAGCAAAACAGAGGAATATGCCATAAACATGTCATACAGACTGAGCGCTTCGCGGAAATATGCCGTCCTACCAGTATTTTCCTTTATTTCGCAACATTGATGGTGGGGAAAGAAGAAAAAAGAAACCAAAAAACCTTTTTCGGTAAGATTAAGAGAACCCACCAACATTTTTGTCAGATTAACAAAATATCCTTTCAGTATACCGAGATAAACCTCCCCTATTAAAATCTGACGCGCTCGAGTATTTTTTTTTTTTTGCATTTTTGACTACTTTATATGCCTACCCCCCACGCAAACCGGCAGATTAGTATACCGTTGTTATCAGAGGCACTTGGGGCATACGTAGTATGAATATCTGACGCGCTCGAGAATGCCCAAGTAACTGTTTTTTTTAACATTTTTGAAAAACCGTACACGCCAAACCCACCGCTAAAATGGTTTTTACCATCCGAGCTTTTCTTTTCGAAATTATTTTATCCTTCGATTTTGATAGGTCTCGACGGTGCCGTTGAATTACGCCATTTAGCTACCTCGCCTCCCTATGAGTATATAATATTAGTTATACCTTGATGTCTTGACGAGTTTTTATAACCGTTAGGCTCTCTTTAGTTAAAGATGAATATTTCAGGGCTTTTTAATATTTTAATTACCTTTCGAAGTCACGTTTATTTGGAGTGGAGTACTACTTTTTTATAATATTAAAGCTAAGCTTAGTAAATATAGTTAACTAACGTAACTTGTGTACTTTTACATTAAAATTATTATAACCATTAATTTGTTTCAAAATTAATATTAATTCAAACGTTGACCATTACAAGATTACTTTATATATAGGCCTTCCATGATTTTTTTTAATTTTTGAAAATAAATATAGCTTTTATTGAATAATCCTTTTTTTTTAATATAAAAACGGGCAACACTTGATGTTAAGTCAAACCCGCCACCTATGGACTGCCACCAGTTTCAGTGACAAAAACCGCGTGAAGTGCGTTGCTGGCCTTTGAAAAATTTATTGTTTCTTAAGTCGAATTAGTTCGGAAATACTACAATCTGCAGCTGATTCCACATAGTGTGGGCAGCACGAACCGCCTTAAAACCGCTCAGTTATGGAAGGACAAACGTCGAGGTGATACAGGCCTGTTAGCTTTATTTCTATAAAAAAAAAATCAGTGGCGCTGCAACCTCTTTAGGTCTTGGCCTCAGATTTCTGAATTTGTTTCAAGATCATTTTAGCCGTTGATTGAACCTACGACAGGTATGAGTGTCGCACGCTGAAGCCACTAGTCCAACTGCACTGCATCTGCATCTTCTTCCTATAAAAGTACAAGTTTAATAATTTTCCTGTTTGGTACCCGTATGTGCATAATAAATACACAAAAAGTTCTCTTCTCCGCGCGTAAACGTAATTCAAAGCTAAAATTTAGTTATTTACTGAGGCAAATTGTTTACGCTTAAAATTTTCCTTTGCGAATTTATATTCATCTGATTGTCATGTGACCTATAATAGCTATTACAATAAAGGATAAACATAAATCAGAGGCTCTTTGTTATAAAATTCCTTTCAATTGGCTTCATTAAACGTGACACATCGAATGGAAAACAAAGGAAATTTGACAAAGTAATTCTGTTTGGATATGCAATCGTAAAAGTCCTTTGCGCTAGGGAATTCAACTGATTTTACTTACATAAGTAAATTTTTGTTTCATAATATATAAGCAGTGTTGGCCTAGTGGTTTCAGCGTGCGCCTCTCATCTCTGAGGTCGGAGGTTCGATCCCGGCTGTGCACCAATGGACTTTCTTTCTATGTGCGCATTTAACATTCGCACGAATGGTGAAGGAACACATCGTGAGGAAATCGGCTTGCCTTAAACCCAAAAAGTCGACCCATTAACAGATACATAAATCTGAGACCCAGACCTAAAGAGGCAGTAGCGCAAAATTGACACAAGTTTTTTTTTAAATCTAATAAAAAATATATAAGCTTTCTATTTATTTAATTAATGTAGTTTTACTAAGTTAGCCACCAGACATTACAGGATATTCTTAAAAATTTTCACTGAACATTTTGTATTGCTTCTAAACCTGTAGATTTTTGGGTGAACGCTGTTTTTCTATACAAATGAATAAGTGTATATTGCGCACATATACAGAAATGTATTGCGTATACCTAGTATTCAAACGACAAAACGGAAAAAGTAAAAAAGTTAATACAAATGCGGTCAGCAAATCGTTATATCAATACTTTAAGAGCCCATAAGGAACAGACATACTAAAATAAATAAGATATATATCAGTAAAGTGTAATACAAGTGGTCTTATCATTTGATATTGCCTATCAAAACCTACACTGAACGTGATGGCCTGTTTCAAGGGGATATCCCCAACCACTTTTATGGTTGATTCATAGTTTTAACTACCCGGTAAGCTGGGTAAAAACGTTGAATCATTGTCGATTTAAGGTTGTTATACTTCACAATTTAATACGAGTCTCCAACCTGCTGTCATGATTTTAAATCCCAGATTTGAGAACCCACGTAAAATAACGTGTAATTAATACAATACTAAACGGCGAAATAGTAAGAAAATCAGGATATCTCAGACACAAATTATATCTTATTATATATTTGTCCAAAGAATAATATAAACAGACATATAAATATGTATGCAATTGATTTATTTATAGATCAAAGATATTAAAGATGTTGGTGTAAGTCTCATAATCCTTCAAATGTAACCTCAGATACTCCTATTCTCAGACCTGGAATGCTCGTCGGAGAGAAATTTGTGCTGATGAAGAGGTAGTCGAAACTGAAGCCTATTTTAAGGCTAAAGATAAATCGTAATGGTGTCGAAAAATTTTATGACCGCTATAATCGTATCGTTTCCGAAGGCTATTGAATAATCAAATCAAATTCTATCAAAAGATGTTTTCTATATTAACCTACATGTTACGAGGAGTCTCCAAGCTGAAGTCATGATTATGAAACCAAGCTATACAACGATGTATTTTTATACGCGTAATTAACACATTAAGAGTGTTGGCCTAGTGGCTTCAGAGTGTGACTCTCATCCCTGAGGTCGTAGGTTCCCATTCGCTCTAATGGTTAAGGAAACCATCGGGTTGCCTTAGACCCAAAAAGTCGACGGCGTGTGTCAGGCACTGGAGGCTGATCACCTACTTGACAAATGATTATGCAACAAACACAGAAATCTGAGGGCCAGACCTAAAAAGGTTGTCCCCACTGATTTATTTATATATTTTTAACTAATACATTCACAAACGGCGAAAATGTAAGAATTGTCATGTGTCCAAAGACTAATGCACAACAGACACAGAAATATGAATGCAATGGACGGATTATAGATCATAATTAATAATGTAATTACAGTACATGTAAATTTCAAACAAAATCGCGGTCACATGTTGATAATGTTCCTCCTTAAAACCTCCTTCATACTTGTGGTATATTTTAATGCAACAGACGTACAATACAATTCTTTTAATTATAGTCAAGTGCACTTGCTTTGACATATATAAATGGTGACTTTAATTTATATCTCTTTGTGTGAGGCACAATGCGATTTCAAATAGTTTTATTGTATCTTGCGAAATTTTCCTTTGCATTTAGCCAAGAATCGGTGAAGATAGCAGTTAGTTATTTTCGAGAGCGGAATGTTAAAACCGTATGTTTACTATCGGATTCTAATCATATAGGTTAGTGATAATTTAATAAACTCTTTGAAGATTTATAATCTACCGCGAGTGGTAGTGAAATGTAGAATTTATTTAATCGACAGTCATTTGTTATGTCTACGATTTCCAGTATAGGTTATATTGAAAACCGAATGCTGGAATGTGACACCCTGACGCAGTATCTTCTGGACCTTCACAATAATAATGCCACTTTAATTACATACTAATTAAAAAATAATCATGGAATGGGTGTTAGTTTTGTTGTTACACTAAGTGGACATTAGTTATTTTTATTTCCATTCGTGTTCTACTGAACTCATTTTGGCTAAAGGTCGCCTCCTGAACCTTCCATTCCATAGCTTCCTCCATCCATTCCCCAAAAACATCACCCTACAAAGTGAAAAGTAAACTCACTTTTCGCCGTGAAAAATTTCTAATCTCTCAAATGTTCCTAATCAGGATAATAGGAATTAAATAAGTATCATATGAAAATAACAATTAATAATATCGTATAAAATTGGAGATTTATATAACGAGCATCACAGATTTGATTATCTTATAGATCGGCGCGCAATTAGAAATTGAAATTTTATTGAAATTAATTTGATTTCAAATTTAGTCTTTAGATAGTAATTTGTTTTTGTGAAATTGTGGTGGTTCTTGCCGACTCAATCTACGGCTAAGATTGCTGCGGGCCTTGGATTTAAGGCGGAAACACATTACTAAAACTCCACGCGACTCGATGAAACGCAACGTGTTGAGTCTAAGAGGAAAATTAAGTGAGAAATAATGAGAGAGGCATAACAAAACGCTTTCGCTGACTTAATCACCTACCGTCCGGCAGACTGTTACAGCAATGGGATTAAGAAATTGCCATCAAAATAGCATCATTCTATTGATACTTTTGGTCCCTAATTTGATTAGCTAAAATAAAAAAAATAGCAAAATATTTATATTTTATATTTTCGCAGCTAAAACATAATTTATTATAGAGATATTAAATATACTTAAAACTAAACGAAATAATATTTCATGATATGAATCTAAAAAACCATCTTGATTAATATTTTAAATAAAGAATTATATTATTATAAATTCCTAAATAAATTAACAATTACCATAAACGTTTTGAAAATTCTACGAGTAAATACAATTCGTATTTTCAGGTATTCAATTAGCTAAAGAAGCCAATAAAGATTCAATAACAGTATTGCAATATATAAATAATGACACTACACAGAGCAGTTGTCAACGTCAAGTTTACACACACACAGGCATTGTATTAAATACAGATTATCCAACTTTTCAAGATGTACTGGTTAATGTGAGTAATGACAATGTATTTTTATATAAAAATTAGATTTTTATTAGAAAGAAAGAAAAATCGTTTTCCTGATTTGTGTAAGTAGTAAGTGATTTCGTCTCATTATGTCAAGTTATGTGTACAGTATAATGAAAGGAGCAGTGTTGGACTAGTGGCTTCAGCGTGCGACTCTCATACCTGAGGTCGTAGGTTCGATCCCCGGCCGTGCACCAATGGAATTTTTTCTATGTACGCATTTAATATTTGCCCGAACGGTGAAGGAAAACATCGTGAGGAAACCGACATGTCTTAGACCCAAAAAGTCGACGGCGTGTGTCAGGCACTGGAGGCTGATCACCTACATGCCTATTAGATTTAAAAATGATCATGAAACAGATTCAGAAATCTGAGGCCAAGACCTAAAGAGGTTGTAGCGCCACTGATTTTTTTTTTTTTTTAATTAAAGGAGATTAAATAGCATTCTGTGCAATGAAGACATATTTGCAATTGTTTTATTATAAATTGGGAAGATAAGTAGTGAGTTTGTAACGTCTAGAAAATCATATAGACCTATTGACTCAGTCATGAATTATAATAACAATTTTTTTTTAAATCATTTTATCTATATTTTATAGTGAAATTGTTTCAGGCCTCTAAAAAGAATATATTTGATTCAAACCACATTTGGTTAATTTTTGATGAAAATAATTCGACTGAAATTAACACAATATTTTCAATTTTAAACCTATCAGTAAATGTCGATGTTACCATTGCACAGCGCATGGGTAAGTTATACAGATTAAACATATATTTTTATTCTATACTTGATAAATATCTCATTGATAAACTTCCCATATTTTGAATAAATATAGGATTATTACATACTTTTCATTATACATAAGAAAGAAAGAAGAAAAATTAACCCGTCCGCGTGTTCCGCCTATATGATAAGGTGATAAGCTCAAATCTACCGAACGATAGTGTGATATCTGAGTAACCCTTTAATTATGTAAATAAACTACAACCAACGAGTGGCCCCACGACTCTTAGATATCGTTATCTGTATCGTGATTTTTTCTAATAGGCATACTAAAAGGCCGGCCTGTACTTGCGAGCCTTCTGGCAATGGGTGGCGGTGTCACTTAACATAAGGTGATACTGCCTGCCCTATTGCCTCCTGACGGCGTCAACTTTTTTGGTAAGACTTGACTAAGGTCTTGGAACTCACGGTCTTTTCCATCACCGCACGAACGAATATTGAGGACATCAAAAGTAAAATTTATGTTTGATGACCACCGGCCGTGTAACACGATATTCGTCGATTTATGGCTAAGTTTCCATGTATTATGTTTTATTGAAAGGTCTACTAAAATACATTGAATAAAATAGAGCTCCATCTTCTGTTGGTCTATAGGAGAACCCTTTTAACACAATTCTTTTGTTTAGATTCAGGTTACACGTTATATGACATATTTAACTTTGGTAGAATACAAGGAGGTAATTTACAGAAAGAAATTACAGGCCATTGGAGTCAAGAAACAGGTGAGAGAAATGGTTTTAATCAATTTTAGATTTAATTACAAGTTTCAAAGGTAAAATCTAATTAAGTTTATTAATGTAAATTATGCCTTTTCTGCGTAGGACTAATTTTGAAGAAAGGTTTCAAATACACACGAAGATTTGATTTTCAAAGACTTGCACTAAGATTAATGATAGTGGTACGTATACAAAATATACCAGTCTTTATATATACCAAACTAAAATAATAATGTTTGATTAATAATAATAAAGATTTCAATTTCCTCAGAAGGTAGCAAGGAAGGTTAACATTATTTTATTTATACGAGAGATGTTTAATCAATAGTGAATATGGGATACATTCTTCTTGGAAAGAAAAAAGTACTAGCAGGCATAGCCCAGAGATTAGATTTAATAAAAGTAAAATTTAATCAATTTGCTTTTGTTTTTTATAGAAGTCATTTGTTTGCGTCGTGTCGGGAAGTGTTCTTAAATGGGGAAAATTGAAGTTATAGCTACCTGTGTCCGTCTAGGCCGACAACTTTTTTGATCAAGTCGGTTTCCTTACGAAGTATTCTTCACCGCACGAGCCAGTGTTATTTGTATATGTCGTGAGAAAAATATTTTAGTTTTGAAACCACAATCGCAGGGCAGAAACGTACGCTCAATGTCTGGCTTAACATTGTAAAGATGATATTGGAATTATAGATCTATCTCAAACATATGTGCTAGCAGTGCCAACACTGCTTCAAAATAGCATTATTTATTATAAAAAATAATAAAACAACATGCATGCTTAAAAATTTAAAATTAATTTACGAACCACAAATTAATGTTTGAATGAAACAGAATATAATGAACTTTTAAACCAGAATATAAATTCTTCATAAAAATAAACATTTATGTCCAGAAGGAAATCTTGTATAATGAAAAGCAATGTATACTTACCATGAAGTGATACATACCGAGTGAAAAGTTCCCTTAGATAGAATAGATGGCGCTGTAATGCCTCAACTTCATACTTATCTTTACCAGCTAGGACGTAGTCATTTCCACAGTCATAGAGTCTTCACCAGAAGAGCTTCCTACAATCGTATGTTTTCCTTCTCCACATAATATGGTTTTATTTTTATGTAAAACCTCATATTGATGTCCTCGAAAACTACAGCATTTTAATGAAGACGTGTTTGTTATCTGCTGGTGGATTATAAAGTACAGTATAAAACACAACCTTATATTATGAAGAGTGCAAGTCAGCTTTACTAAAGACGTTATTGTTTATATAATATTTTATTTATTTCCAATATTCTTAATCAAACATAAGTACAATTATTATATATTCTTGATTAGGTATAAATATAACTTTTTTTTATTAGATTTACAATTAACATTATAATATTATAAACTTCCTATAATCACAACAAGGTATTTCTATAATTACGTTGGTGCAAATGTATTAAAGAAAGAGCTGCATTTTTCTTTACGAGAGTCTATCTCGCGGCAGTAATGATTAAAAAATGTATTTGAAGATTTCCAATTACCCCGTGCTAAAATATCATCTATTGGTTGATTTTCGACCCAACCCAAAGAAGCTACTGCTGCCCTACAACTCCCTGGAGATGCATAGATTCCACTATCTTTGAGAACGTGCGCACCCAATTTCCGATTATGGTTCGCGAAGCAGCTTTTATTTTGTTGTTAATGGATATAAAAATATTGTCTAAATTTTTTACTTGAGATCTTCTTGTATTACTCATAGCTATTTGGAGTCTAACTAAAGTGACAGGGCATATGTTTTTATCGTGGTGTTTAGAAAGCTTCCATGTTGACTGGCGTCTTGAGTGTGTGTCTGTCTTAGATCCAATGTCGGTGTTAAATAAATGTTATCACCATCATCCACGAAATGCTCGTCAGTAATTTTTAATAAAGTTAATCGTGAACCCTACCCCATTAAAAGCAATACAGTGCTTTCTCACCGTATCGAATAAAGTGTCCTTAGGAGGGTTGGAAGAAAGCCAGTCTATACTATACGCGGTCATAATGATTTCACGACTTTTGGTTTAGCTACTCCTATTGCCCTGAGGGTGTGTTTAATAATAAAATTTGAAAATGTTCTCTGTTTCTACATGGGGACCCAAAAGTTAAAATTCGATTTGTGAAAAGGATAGTTGCATAGATAAATTTTCTTTTAAAAAGAGAATTAAAATTTTCATATCGGCTGGTTGAGGATTTTGGTTCATTTAAGTTTAACATAACCATTTTTCATTGCGGGTAAATAGTGGAAAGTGAGTACATTTAAAATAGATCTTTTTCCTGTTTGACAGTCTTTTATTTGGGCACCCCACCCCCCAATTTTCAAACTTTTAGGGTCAATGCTTTATTTGTGGAGGAGGCATCTTTTATATCTATAGTGTCTCCGATAGGTGTTGAATTTCTGGGGGTATTAAGATTATTTATCTAAAAACTCAATTAAATATAATAGGTTCTCTATTGCTAAAATTGTAAAATGGGGAAACTTAGACGATAATGCCATTTTTAGGCTCTATGTAATTTGGGATGATTTATTTATTGATAGTAGTTTCTTACTACTCATTTTTTGCAAATAGGTCTATCTCCGGATGTCCCCACTTGAAAGATTCTGTTGCTTAAGGAAGAAGGTGCCATTCCCACTTTTTTCCCTTATAATCTGTCTGCTATGATGTTGTATCTCCCTGGTAGGTAATGTGCGACAGAGTTATGTTGAATTTGTCCGTCAGGTAATATTGAAGTTTAACCCTATGATTTCGTTCACCTTTTTTTGAATGTATGCAATCAGAGTTCGGTTGTCCGATTGTATTAATACTGTGTGTTTTGTAATATTTTTAATTTATTTTTATTGCGGCTATCATCATATAGTTCCTTTTTGTTGCAGTGCCACCTTTTCTTTGGTATGACCATTTTCCTGACATAAGGTTCCCGTCTAGATGTGCCCCCCCAACCCCAATCCAAGCTCCGTCCTAGGAAGTGGGTTGCAGGTTCTTTGTGTATAGGTGTCGTCTGATGAGTAGCTCACCCACATCATTCCTCCTACAATCTAGGCAGCAGTTGAATCGAAGGTCATTTTTAAGTTCAAAAAATCTTACCTGGGAAATGAAGCCCGGGCGCGACAAAGTTTCGAAGTTTAGTTGCCCTAGCAGACTTTGTAACTCGCGGAGGTTGATGCGATTTTTGACAGCGTCTGTTCTACTGTATGGTTTATGCGCTGTATTTTTACCTTGGTAGCGACATCACATTGTCCTGTTGTATTCCAGCGAATTCCAAGGTATTCTAAATTTTGGGTTGGTACCAATACTGATTTTTGTAATTGATTTTCCAACCCCAAGTGTCTCACGGCCTCCGAGGCCTGAGCACTTAACTTGGAGTGGTCTTGGTTGACCAGAAGGTAGTCGTCTAAGAAGACTAGCACTCACATCCCTTCATAAGGTCTCCCACCCAACATGATACTCAGAGAAAAGTACACCACACACCCAAAGGAAGGATGTCATTTCGTATAACTGCCCTTTTAGCTATTTAAGAATGGTCGGTGCGATCTCGCCGTAGATGGAAATAGGCTTGTGATAAATCTATTTTTATCATCCAGTCCCCTGTTGAAGAAAAGTCTGGACGAGCCTGGAGATCAAACGAAAATGTTTTGTTTAGAATTGGTTTATTTCGCAAATCTACAATCACCTCAGCTCCTTTTCTTCCGAAGAAACATTTTGGATATAAAACTGAGTTTTGTTGAGAACTGTTTGTAGGATACCTTGATTCAAGAGTTCTTTGATTACCTGGGATGTCGCAGGTGACGGTTCGGTTGCGTATTGACTTATGATTCGATTTGTTGGCATTAACAAAGGAGGTTTATTGTACAGAGGTATGCGGAATCCTGTAATTGCGGATATTATAAATTTGTTGGCACCCATCCTGCCAACGTTTTTTGAAAAATGTTAAGCAACCTCCTGAATGTGTTGATAGTCATTTTTTCGTCTTTGTTAGAAAGCGGGTAGTTCTTAAGTTGTTTATGATATCGATTTTTCTGTTAAATGTTCGCTTCGTTTGTTGTTTTTTGTGGGTATCACGAAAATTATTTTTCACATTTTGTGCCTGGTGTCTGTATTTGGATGTAGATGCTGACGGTTCTTTGTGTCTAGGTTTAAAAAGCTCTCTTACTCTGAAGGTTGCGGCGGGGATAGCCAGAATCGCGGCCCACCGAGGGATTATGAGGGACGCGAGCTTATTTTTTCAAACAAAAATTCCTCCTAGGAGGTATGTTACTAAGCGCAGTTGAATCCGTGTCCGAAATCTCACTATTAATTTTTAGCTAGTTTCTATACATTCCGCTTTTTCGCATACAATTTGCAGGGTTTGTTCATGCAATTTGAGAGAAGGTGATTCACTACAAATATCGGAAATTTTTTGAAAAGATTATGGGTTTTAATTCTGGTTATTATGAGCCCAGTCTATGATTTTTTGTAATCCAGATTGTAGTAATTCCCTTTGACATATGATCGCGTGGGTGGTCCACCATAATTTCCTCTGTTGAGGCAAGAAATCTTTCCCTCTTGCTTAGAAAATATTTCATCGTTAATTTTCAGGTTACAAAAGCTAGACCACATATCTACCAGGGGTTTTTTTTAATATGTTCCATGGGAGATTGAAATTTTGAGTTTTATGAGCTGACGTAATCGTTTTTCATCGGCCGTTTTAATAATTTTTTATCATCAATATTTGTGCTACCTACCCCCAAGTCCAGAGATTTGAATTTTCGGTGAGGATTAATTAAAAATCCTATCGTATTGGTAGGTTGGTGGGTACCTTCGTCATTGAGCACTGGCATGGGTAATATTGTTGATGATTATAAAATTTGTGAGGAAACTCACTATTATATAAGCGTCGATCCACGACTTACCTTTACTCGTTCCTTTTCTTTGTGGTGGTTCCTCGCCAGTCCTATCAGACCCTTGCACGTGGAGTCCTCTTTTCTTGTTTTTGACTTGCTACACTTTTTAGACTACCTGCCTATCGGCCCCCGCGGCCTCATCATCTAGTACCATTCCATAACCACTGATGTATATATAATGCGGTTTGCTAGTAATTTATTAAATTTAGAAAATCTATAAGGTTTTAAGATGACTATGCATTTACTTTAATATTATCGATTCGGTTGACCCAGCAAAGTCACAACTATATTGAAATGATACTCTTAAGATAAGTATGAAGTTGAGCATTACAGCGCCATCTATTCTATCTAAGCGAATTTTCACTATTATATATAAGATACATTCTTTTATTATAAATCTATATGTTTTCGGAGGCCATCAATAATAAAATAAATTCACGACATAAAATTAAAGAAATTTACTCAAAGACTTTAATAAAATAATCATAAAGAGTAAAAATAATCTCGATGCTTGCCAAAGATTGGAGAAATCGAAATTCAAACTATTCGAATTACCGAGGGGTTTTTTTTTTTTTGAAGAAGCGGGTTTTCTTCGGTCTATGGCAACAGTAACATTTTAGTAATCTTTGTTCGCGCCCATTTTAGGCACTAGATTCATACTACACAGAGACTGTTTCATTGCCGTCTATTAATTTGTTTATTCCGTTTTTGTTATTAAATAATCTAAATATCGTATATACTACTTTTTAATATATACTACTATATAAGTTAATTTATATATTATTTTTTAAGTATCAAGGTAAACCCGAAGAATTTCGCCCTGAAATAATATTAGAAAGGGAAGTGGCACCGGGTATATCTATGGTGACACAGACTAGCGGCATGATACTTAACGAACTGGCATCTATACATAATATCAAGTAAATAAATTATTTTTAATCGAACTCTTTACTCTAGTGACTTTATTATTGGATAGGAAAATGGCCATTTTAGGTTTAGCTTGTTTATTGGTTGTTAAATAATTATTTTATTGTATTTTTTTAAACCGCATTAATAACTTTATAATAAAACTTAAAAATAAAATTAACTGAATAATAACTAATCCATTTATCAAAGATTATCATTATTACTAGTTATAGTGAATATTTTATATAAATAGTAATAGTACATTATAGTATAGACTCTTGATATAAGATAATACATGTTATTATGATAAGGTTTAATAGCTAAATGTGGCTTAAAGTACTATGTTATATGTTGAAACATATTTTTTACAGCTTCAATTATAGTATATGCGACAGATGGGTTGGAGATTACAAAAGAGAAAGTCCAAATGTAAGTTAATAATAAAATATTTTTATTCAATAACTGGCTGATTTTATGAAAAACTAATTAACGATATTTTTAGTTAATTATATAATTTTATCAACTTCTAAGCCTACAAAAACATTATTTGTTACAGGCTGTGACTAATTCACTGTATTTTAAGGAAATTGATGTAACACCAACATTACGGTTTTTACCTTCTCATTTGGACTACTATGATGTTATACACCAATATGTAACATATGCTGAGTTAGTAGTTCTTTTTATATATTTTTAAATATATATAGCATTATATATTTCTATACTCAATATGCTTTCGAATGATACAGCATTAACAATTCTGAAGATGGGAAGTTTTGGTAAGGATATTTTGCTCCCAAAAATAAATACTTAACAAGAAAAAAGTAAATTGTAAATACATATATTTGATTGTTATCGTAATCATAGAAATCGTAGAATTTACTTTAAAATTATAATTTCTTTGTGTGAAATTACATTTTAAGTAGTCTTAAATTACTTTTTTCCAAAAAAGTTACATTGGTCCACTTCTAATAAAACATAAAAAATCGTAAACATAAAAAAGATCTAAACGTTTTTAGGTCTGGCCCTCAGATTTCCGTATGTTTCATGATAATTTGTCATTTTAATAGGCAAGTAGGTGATCAGCCTCCTGTGCTTGAAACACGCCGTAGTTTTTGGGTCTAAGTCGGTTTCTTCACCAAGCTTACCATCACCGTTCGAGCGAAAATTAAATGCGCACATAGAAAGAAAGTCCATTGGTGCACAGCTGGGGATCGTACCTATGACCTCAGGGATGAGAGTCGCACGCTTAAGCCATAATAAGCTGAATAATATTTAGAGGGAAATACTTCTACCGCATCCCAACTACTGGAGTGGGTAAGTTTGAAAACCAATTCCTCACACCATTTACCCGAGATGTCTGGTTTACTGTGATCGGAGTAATAACGCTATGTGGTATTGGCCTGTTATTGAGCGCAAAACTGGAGAATCGACCGAAGTCAGGACATTATGCGTTTTTCTCAGTTGTGGCATTATCTTGTCAACAATGTAAGTAATATTCCATCAAAAACTTTAAAAAAAAGCATTGCTTAGTGCCTATCTCATACTTAATCCTCTGTTTTGCTGGTAATGTTTTTTTTTTATTATAAATATATGATATATTTTTTTGTAATAATTATGTTTACCATTATTGTCTTCATATATTTTAGAAAAGATAGCTTGTAATATATACTATTGATAAAGCATTATATATGATGTGGTTTTAATAAATAAATAAATAAGAACAAAACTAGTAAAAAAACTAGTAAAAGAAATGTCCGTAAAAAAGTTTCATGTGGATGACATGAAAGTCGGTTAATTTATTTAGTTAAGGAACCTTCTGTCTTAAGTTATTACGTAATTAGCTAACCTAACAACATATTATGGTGACCATATCAATGTACAAATCTCCACAAGTAATACATGTTATATTCAATTGTTTCAGACACACGAACATAGTGTCAAAATATTATAGATTACTGATACTGTTATTGCACATTACCTTGGTTTATTCACTAGTATTGTAGAAAATTAAGTCAACATAATATTACTTAGTAGCCATAATTATTGTATAGGCTGGATTTAAACAAATGTATAGTCCCACTCTCTCTTAGAACTTTATTTTAGAAAAAAAAAAATAGATTCAGTAGGATTGATAGATATCTATATATTAAAAACATACAAGAATTGTCATATTAATAACGTCACTATAAGTATAATATAATATTTTACCGACCAATATCAGTCCTACCAGTGTTATCAAAAATTTTTGAAAAGATATTACACTTGCGTCTTAATGACTACCTAGCTTCAATAAATTTATTATAAAAAAAACAATACGGATTCAGACCTAATCGAAACGTACTCTACAATAGACTAACAAATTAACTAAATTAGATAAAAAAATAGCATAGGATATTTGTTGATCTTGAAAAAGCATTTGATACCGTTCTCATGAACTTCTCTTAAAAAAACTTAACGATATTGGCGTAACAGCATTAAAAGTATTTAGCTCTTACCTTGAGAACCGCCAGCAAATAGGAACGTTTATGAGTGATGCTACTCCAATAAATTGTGGTGTGCCCCAAGGATCTATACTGGGGCCACTTTTATTTTTGATTTATATTAATGACAACTTACGGTTAAAGGGTGATGTTACGTTGTATGCAGATGACACAAGTTTGTTTTACTATGGTAGTAATATAGATACAATCGTGAAAGATGCACAAATTGATTTAAACTGCCTAAGTAACTGGTTAAAAAATAATTTACTCACTTCATACAGAAAAACATTATATAATTTTTGCGGCAAAAAATAAGAAAATATACGATTTTGTACCTCTTACTATTAATGGATGTAATATCATTAGAACAAATACTCAAAAATGTCTTGGTGATGTATTGGATAGTCGTTTAACTTGGGAGCCGCACATTGCATAATTAAATCCAAACTATCTTCTATTCTTGCGTGCTTGTGGCAGTGTGCGTTGCTTCCCAAAGTCATCACTCATTTATATCATATTATGGTAAAGCCACACAGTACATATAGACTACTTAATCGAACTATGGGGCACTGCAGCCTACAAATCGTTATAAAATACAAATTATGCAAAATAAATTATTGCAGACATTATTCTACTACGATTATTTGACTCCAACTGAAAAACTATACAGTGATACCAAATTTATGAGTATAAACCAGACATACGTTTACAATACCTCAATTTTAATATACAAAATTATTAACAAATTAAATCATACAAATCTATCCTTTACACAAAAATCAGATACAAAATATTCATTAAGAAATATTGATACATTATGTTTAATGCAACCAAGGACTAATTACGGAAAACTTAATATTATGTATATATAATATATAATATTATGTTATACATTCCCAGATTAAAAGAAATAAAACTTTTTAATATTTAAAAACTTTTAAAAGTACATAATAATTAACAACATACCTATAAAATAACAAAAATAAAAACAACCATATTCTATATCTGTGTATGTAACAATCGTAAAAGTTTAATATGAATTAATGGAATAATTAATGTATTAACAAAACATCAAAAAGGCTATTCTAGCATTTACTTATGTCTGCGAACGAGCGTCTTAGAAATTATTAATATTCATTATGTGACATAATGCCTGTTGTAACATCGACGCGACCTACCTGCACTTTTGTAACAAATATGGTACATTAAGAAACTAATATTTTTATTTTATATAGTGTATTTTCAAATAATTTCATAATGTAATTGTAATTCTTTGAGAAATAAAGTATCTTTGAACCTAATACTTAATAATATCGAATTTCTCTTTCAGTTTTCGAAGATATAGATGACGGTGTTGTGACGGTGTTGTAAAGAGGAACTCCACGGGTAAGTGTAGTATAACTTACCAGCGATTTCATGTGTTTAAAAATATATTTTATTGCAAATATAAAAATGTATATTACTTGACGTACAAAAATTTAACAGTTATGAGGGAGTTTTTGCTCCTGAGATCTGGAAAAAATGTGAAAGACGTGAGACCACCACCAAAATCATGTAACAGCAATACGGTCTTAACTGTATAAAATCGTCAAATTGTATGATTCTGAACCCGACTAGGTAGATAATAACAGTTAAAAGTGTAGCAACTGTGTGAATTTTTGCTGTGTCAAAAAAAAGGCAGAAAGTGTAAAGTCGTGTAATTTCCGATCGTGAACATTATTTTTATTTAACGTTTATTAGTACAAAATAAACTGACTTCATTACGATTTCTGTATACCACATGGACACTAAGCCAGAGGGCTCGCGAGTGCGTTGCCGGGATTTTAAGAATAGGTACACGCTTTTCTTGAAGGACTCTAAGTCGAATGGTTCAGAAATCAGTGGGTAGCTGGTTCCACATACCTCTTTTGGAAAAAAAAACGCCGTAGTGATACGGATGGTATTTTGTATTCTGCCTTGACGTCCGATGATGAAATTAAAGATTCTTTGATAATCCATAGTAATAATAATTCCATAGCTATTATCAATATCAAAAGTTCATTAAATTGGAGAACAATTAACATTTAATTAACTTCTTCTTTCTTCTTCTCCCTTACAGCTCGAAAGCTTACTATTCTAGTAACTGGTATATCATGCGTTCTGATTTTCAACTACTACACAAGCAGCGTCGTCAGTTGGTTGTTGAACGGACCACCACCATCTATTAACTCTTTATGGGAACTGATGGATAGCCCTCTGGAACCGATCTTTGAGGACGTTGGTTACACATGGTCCTGGCTTCAGGTATACTATATGTTAGATGTTTGTAGTGCTATTGAAAGCAATAATTAAATTATAAGTGCTTTTGTTAGTATTTATAAAAATTACAATTATTATAAGCTTAAAAAAAATAGTTTTTAAATTATATTTTTTCGCAGATATTAACAAAAAAAAATAAATTGGTGTTATTAAAGGTTATTACATCGTTAAGTTATATAAAATTGTAAAATTAGCAATATTATATTTAGTGTAATTATAATCGAAAGAGTAAAAAAAAAGAGAAGTACGTTTGCACCGTCTTTCTTGTGAATGATCAATTTGTCACAGATTGAAAAACGGAGTTTGAATGAAATGGCAACGCAATTGCGAGCCTTCTGGCAATGTGAGTGTCCATGGGCGGCGGTATCACTTAAAATCAGGTGAGCCTCCTGTCCATTTGCCTCCTATTATATAAACATTTTTTGATCGACATTTCATTATTTAATAAAAGAGTTTAAATCAAATTATAAAGGACTGCATCCGAGAATTTGTAAATAGCACATGTTTCTAAATTAAATCTTTCAGCTACCCGATTATTATTACAATAAAAAGAACGCGCGCGCTGAAGATGTTTTGAAGAAGAGAATTAAAAAGAAAGGAAATTTAATTCTAACATCCCCAATGAAGGGTGTGGAAATGGTGAGAACTGGAGGTAAATATAATTTTATGGAAATTTACGATTTGGAATAGCATTTACAATGTCATAAAAAGAAGCTGATTGACGGGACTTCTATTTAGTTTGATTAGAGTTATTAACAAGGTGAAAAACATATCGTTCGGTAATCGAGATATTTTTTTTAAATTAACTAACAAAAGAGATGCGAAAAGTCTAAATATATTTTCATATTTTCCACTACTAAACTATACGAATTATTATATCAGTTTATAATAAGAAAAGCTACTGGTATAATTTTTTATGTAATAACACACCATATCATATATATTGCATTTTCTTCTACAGTATACGTTATTATCTATTTATTCTTAAATACCTGACAAATACAGCGAACATAAATTTTTACAAAAAATAGTTAAAATAGAATAAACATTACACTCCCAACTACAAATTTAGTTTTTACTAGGCATTTCCTATTTAATTATAATTTGAACCAAACATTAAAATTATTTGCAATAAAGTCCAATAATTATTAAAGACAAGAACAAATGCGACGTTTTATTAATTATAATACCCCGTAATAAAACTCCTTACTACTAAAACAAAAGTAAGTTGAAATTACAAGAAAACTTAGAAGTTTTAATCATTACCTCTAGAATATAACGAGCCAGTTCGTTTATCAAAGAGACTCTTGTTTTATTATAGTTAAGTCGACGGAACTCAAGACTAAACACAGAATATTTTAAAGATGTTAATTTTAGTTCTCTAAGACTCTTTGTTATACGTAAAGTCAGTGCATTTAAGCTTTGTTTGGCCGAGTTTTTCATACAAATATCACGAATATATAAAGTTTTTATAACAGTATAACAGAAGTGTATGTAAGTTATTAAACTTAAGACTTTTTTTTTGACTGGCGGGGCGGGACTAAAATAATAAATAAATCAGTAGCGTTACAACCTTTGTGCGCCTAGGTGTGGGCCCCGGATGTCTGGATCTGTTTAATCATCATTTGTCAATCTAATAGACAAATAGGTAATCAGCCTCTTGCTGACACACACCGTCGACTTTTTGTGGATAAGGCAAGCCGATTTCCTCATGGTGTTTTCCTTCACCGATCGAGCGAATGTTAAATGTGCATATAGAAAGAAAGTCCATTGGTGCACAGCTGGGGATCGAATCTACGACTTCAGAGATGAGACTAGCACATTGAAGCCACTAGGCCAACACTGCTATATAAATATATCTTCCTTATTGTATTTGTCATAGGAACTACTTTCCTCCGACATAATTCATTTTTTGCCGGTATTCAATTTCAGAATCTTTGAGCTAAGCTTTATCTCTTAGTGATTACTACATTAAAATGAGGTGTGAATATTTTTTCAGCATATGCCTTCCACTGCGATGCGAACATTGCAAATAAATACATAGCGAAAACTTTCACGCCGAAAGAGCTCTGTGACTTGGATTCTTTGCCGTCTTTTGAAAAAGCACTATTGTATACATCGGTTCAGAAAAATAGTCCTTACAGAGAGTTCTTTATTTGGAGGTAATCTTGCAGCTTCTATGCTGTTTCGTCCTACTACAGAAAAATTTAGGTATAGAAAAATATATGGAGATCATCTCCTATCTATTGAATTTAGTTCGATTCAAAACATTATACATTCACCAATCATTTTAAGCAACATCTAAACTTTTCCAATGCTAAAACCGAATGTATTCTTCTTGTGCAACAGTAATATATCAACCATTTATATGTCAAATGGAAGAGACTAGTTGCCCACGACACAGGGATTCCTAGTGCCCACACTACACACACTAGTGCACTTTTTTCACTTCACTACACTAAAGATTTTAGTTCTTTTCAGTTTTAAAAATGATGTCGCATTTCTAGTAAATATTATTAAATCACGAATAGCGAATTAAATTGAGCAAAGTTGTGTTTTATATGTTAAGCACTGTAGCACGATCTCGTAGCGTAGCGCTACGAACGTGCTATACTGAGATCGTCTACACTTAAGTGCTACAGTGTTCTATACTATTTATCTATAGCGGCGAATACTCTATTACTTTGTAATAGTGATAATGACACCATAATTAGTGATAATTTGATGTATTGGCTCTCTCTGATATATCTCAAATGACGTCATCTAAGCCCAATTTCAAAACAGTTCTTTCAATATTTGTTAACGTCGTAGTCAAACTTACTGTTATTACTATTAAATATCGAAATCGCATTGACATTTGAGAGTTACACATCTGCAATACTGTTTATTTTACGAGTGAATTATATAGAGCTTATCTATTAATAACCATATAGTTTGCTTATTCTCTATAATTGATTATTAAAAAAATTGTATACGAAAAATAAAACTATAAAATTTTCACTTGTCGGTTTAATGATATGATCAGTACATTCGGTGCGCTGATATTCCGCTGCTAACTTATTGATTTTATTATAATAACTATATTATAAGTTAGATTCATAAATTAAGAATAGAGTTTAGTAGTTTTATTCCTTGTTGCTAATGTTTAAAGAACTTTATTTCTCATTACAAAAATTATTTTTTTATTTACATGAGAAATTTAATATTAAGTATATATTCCTTGTTGCATATTAAAAATAACTTGATTTCTTATAGTTACGCTCGAATATCAGAACAAGGAATAATGAAATTAATTCAATCTCGAACGTATCCCCGTGTGATGACATGTGAGGGGAGTTCTCCAAGGGCCCTAGCACTTGGAGGCGCTGCTCCGGCATTCATAATGCTTGCTATCGGATATGTTGCCGGCACATTAATTATGTTTATGGAAAGGTATAATCAAGTTATAGTTTAGATGCCTTGCTCAATTACGATGCATTTATAGAATTAAAATTCAAGTAATTGTGAAAGCTTTATATTTTTATTTATATACAAAGAAGATTAATTGAGATTTTTTTTTATGGAAACAGTAAAAGTCTAAGACACTTTGTGCCGCGGTTTATGTAATGATGGTCACTCTCTGGTACCATCTGCTCGTTGAGGTATTTCTGAACCAATGCGACTTAAGATCCTTCAAGCTAAGAGTTTACTGACTTCTAAAAGGCCGGAAACGCACTTATGCCACTGTAAGTGTACTTGGGCGGCCGCGATATCACTTAACATCAGGGGATCCTCCAGCAATCCCGAATGAAAATGATCCCTCAATTTTATTAAATAAAACCTCATTGTTTCGGTTTGGTCCTATTAAAAAAAAAATTAATCGTTGTACCAATTAACTTCAATTAATTTTAATCTTCTAGGATTATGAAAGCGCATGAGCATAAAAAGCTCTCAAACTGATAATGAACTTTGAAAAATTTAATAATAGGAATGAAAGGCGTAAATTTTTCATTACAGTAGTTTTAATTGTGAAATCACGATGTAAGTAGTTATTTTCAATAGCAATACAACCTTTGATTAAAAAATTGTATCTGTATGTATAGTATGAATATATAATATAATGTATGTGTAACGCGTTTATAAATTTAATTTATGTATTATAATATATTATTGTGTTTCAGCATAAATATATAAACGATATCTTTATTCACCATAGTGATTCATCTTTAATTAATATAGGTTTTACCACCTGTAGTATCGCAAATACTGGACATTAAAGCTATCAATCAAAATATCTTTATGCGTATAGAAACGGCATTTACTCAAAAACTACCGAATGGATTTTTGCGAAAGGTCCCCCCCAAGGAGGGGTTTTTTTTTTTTTTTTTTTTTTTTTTTTTTTTTTTTTTTTTTTTTTTGTTTTTCTTTTTTTTTTTTTTTTTTTTTTTTTTTTTTTTGGGGTTTTTTTTTTCCCCCCCTTTTTTTTTTTTTTTTTTTTTTTTTTTTTTTTTTTTTTTTTTTTTTTTTTTTTTTTTTTTTTTTTTTTTTTTTTTTTTTTTTTTTTTTTTTTTTTTTTTTTTTTTTTTTTTTTTTTTTTTTTTTTTTTTTTTTTTTTTTTTTTTTTTTTTTTTTTTTTTTTTTTTTTTTTTTTTTTTTTTTTTTTTTTTTTTTTTTTTTTTTTTTTTTTTTTTTTTTTTTTTTTTTTTTTTTTTTTTTTTTTTTTTTTTTTTTTTTTTTTTTTTTTTTTTTATAGAAACGGCATTTACTCAAAAACTACCGAATGGATTTTGACAAATGTTTCACCAAAAGATAGTGTAATTTAACGTTTCTTAATGATTTAACGTTAATTGACTGAAATATTAGCAGTTAAACATGTTTAAAAGAATCTTAATGCATATAGAAACGGCATTTACTCAAAAACTACCTATTGGATTAAAGGTAAAAATTAAAGGATTTAGTTAAAATTTAACTTGGTTTCGGGAAAAAGGTAAATTACAATAAATGGTTTCTATCAATGATACTAAGATAATTTACTATCTATCCAAAAAGATGGATGCGCCAAACAATAATCAGCACTATAATGAATCCCTTCTACGTATCACCATTATTTGAAGACACTCAGCCAGTATCGGAATTCTCGGTGTTGACATATCGAGGGAGGTTCAGTTTCGCGGTCATTTGGAGCATGAAAGCTAAAGCCTGCAAAAAGCTTGGTGTCCTTTGTAACGCAAAATGGTACTTCACTCCGGGTCACTGCTTGCAACTGTATTCATATCAGCTAGATCCTTTGGCGAAAGCCATTGTTGGTTCCCTCAGCATTTTCTACCGCATTTATCATGGGGAATGCTCTGAAGAATTGTTCCGACTGATACATACGGCTGAATGACCACGAGGCAGTATGCAAAATTCCATCCTTTATATCTCGACGTCTGGCGTTCCACAACAAAGCTATTTTTAAGGCAATTTCTGTCACGCACCACCTCTTTGTGTACACCAGCTCATGAAAAGAGCGTACCATTCCCTGAAAGGTCAGCAACACACCCATGGACGGCGGTTATCTTATAAATATATCCAAAGCCTGCTCATTTGTCTCCTGTGCCATAAAAAATCTATCTACTATCTTTAGAATCTAGTCTAGGTTTTGGTTTTAATTGATTTCGCCGTAACAAGTTTTTGCTTGTGGTTTTATTAATTGTATATCTTTTAATATGCATGTTACATACAAAAATCTTGATTGAAAAGCTAATTTTAAAGTACTAGCTTAGTCACTTTTACCAAAGCTTCAAGGATCAATATAGCGTCACCATTAAATTAGCTAATGTAAAGGTGACCGACTCGTGACCCATACGCCCAAGGGAAATCAGACCTTAACGACCAAGGTCGGTGGTTCAATATGAATATATTAATGTAGCTATTTCCGATCCGGCTCTTGTAATAGTGATAAATAATTCTACATTTCCATCAAGCGGAGATCGAATGCTAAGTTTCAAGTAGGCTAATGCTTAACAAAATATAGTCTCAAAATTTGTTACTAACCATTGCATTAGCTTTTAGTTTTTTTTAATTATTATTTTATTTTTTTTATTTTACTTTATTTAAATTAAAGTTGGTGTTACTTATTTATGCACTACTTGTACTTTACCCTCTATAAATGTTTCTTTTTTATTGTTTTCATACTAAGATGGACGATGTTTGTTAGCGATAAGGCCGCCCGTTGCTTATCAAACTAATGTAACCTGCGGTTTTTGAAGTGAAACTTTTTAGGCGCAGGGTAATATTTTTACGGATGAAACGCAATAAAAATAATATTAGCTTCACGAAGATGTGCAGCTTTTTTGTTGAAGAAAAGGGAGAGAGCGATTGAGAGAGAGTGAGAACGGCGAATGACCTTATATAAATTCTATTTTTTAAATTAAAAGTTTGTGAAGAGAATTTATGAAATATTAGTATTTTATATTTTGTGCAAAATAATTTATTGAAATCTTAAATGACGAATTGTAAATTAAAATGCCACGTGTATTTATAATCAAAGCAATAAATTAAAAAAAAGTTAACGACGACAATCGACAGTTTTAATATTTTAATGACAATTAAATTGAATTAATTCCTAACATATCTTCCTTTTACCCTCCTTTAAGTCTCGGAAATCTAAAGTTTTAGATTTTTATAAATATGTCAAGACTTAAAAATTAGTTTGCCAAAGAAGTTTCACTTCTATCATAATATGTACTTTGTACGCACGTACTTTTTTATGTATGCTTTTGTATAAGGGTAAATAAAAAAATACTATGTAAAGTTTCATTTTTAAACAAGTTACTTAAAATTCTGCAAGGTATCAGACAATGTTATTAATATTTTAATACCGATACCGAACGCCGTGAAAAATTCACGGATCAATGCATAGTAATAACCACAATATCCTTTGACTATGTCTGGCAAATATTATTATAAAATATTGGAACAGACTTTTCCAGACATATTACTTCGATATTGAAGATGCAATCTGTTATTGGTTTGAACTTTAATCAAAAGTTTATTCGTTTTATTCCTAACAAGAATGAAAAGATATTTAATTAATTTACCATGAAGAGTGTTCAGTGGTGTTGTTCGGACTAATAACCGCAGCTGAGTTTCATCCTCGGACGTCGAGGCAGAATACAAATACCATCCGTATCACCTCGACGTCCGTCTTTCCACGACTGAGCTTAATAAGGCAATATTTGCCGCACATCACCACTATGTGGAATCAACTACCCACTGAAGTATTTCCGAACCAATTCGACTTAGTGTCAGAACAGAGAGTGCCATTTCTTAAAAGGCCGGCAACGCACTTTCGAGCCTGCTGGCAATGTGGACAATGAGGACACTCCTTTGGCGACGGTATCACTTAAAATCAGGTTAGCCTCCTGCCCGTTTGCCTTCTGTAACATTAAAAAAAAATTAAATGGGGAATAGATGACAATTTGACCGACTTAAAATAGTTCCTACTTCTACAAAAAAATGACTCTCATACATATACCAATTCGACTGAGGCTTCTTCAAGAATAGAGCGTACCAATTCTTAAATGGCCGCCAAAGCACTCGCAAGGCCTCTGGCATTGAAACTGTCCATGGGCGGCGTTATCACTTAACATCAGGTGAGCCTCCTGCTCGTTTGTCCCCTGTTCTTTAAATAAAAATAGAAATATGTTTAAAAAATTAATACTCATATAGGGATGGAACGAAATAAAGAGATTTTCAGTATTTAGTAAATAATGAAACCTCATTTTCAGTTCAAAACAAACAAGCTATGATATATTAACAAAATAAAGTTTGTCCTCGCTTCATTTTCAAGTTGCATTAACTAGGTACTGTCAGCAAAATGAGCGGTTTACTAATTACAGACGATTATTCAAGTTTCTTGTTCCTATTACTACTCAGTGTATATTTTAGCTAACCGCCTTCGTGGCTTAATCTGTACCGATATAGAAGAAGAATTTCAACATTTATTTACTGGTGGTATTTTAGCAGATGCAGTATTTGAGCAGGGTGGTCGTAGGTTCGATCGCCGGCTGTGCACCAATGGACTTTCTTTCTATGTGCGCATTTCACATTCGCTCGAACGGTGAAGGAAAACATCGTGAGGATACCGGCTTGCTTTAGACCCAAAAGGGCGAGGGCGTGCGTCAGGCACAGAAGGCTGATCACCTACTTGCCTATCAGATTAACAAATGATCATGAAACAGATACAGAAATCTGAGTCCCAGACCTTTAAAGGTACCACCATTGATTTATTTTTTGAACCAATTCCTTAGTTCCTTCTTACGAGTGAGTGTTAAAAGTAAATTACAGGAAAGATGCCGTGATGCGATTACACGACTAGAAAAGACAACAAAAGAACAAAAAACTAATAAAATTTGCATATTTTTAAAGTGATAAATGACTTTGCTGGTAGTACGTATATTATACGACTAAATTAAAAACTGAAAAGCGAGT